TACACATGTATTAAAATGTCACATGGCATTCCATTCATGAACATGATTTTTATTTATCAGTTAAACGATACAATGAAAACAATCATTCTCTTGTATACAGAAGAAACAAACAATAAATTTACCACCTACCTCCTTTCTACCTGCTGGTCTTAATTTTCTACTTCACTGACTGCCACCACCATTCATACAGGTTCCCAAGGAAGCATCTCCTTTCTGTATTTTGGCTCCATCTGATCACCTGTATCCCATTGAATTTTACTAAATTAGTAGTTTTTCCTCTGTCCATTTGGATTGATTCATTTTCCATTTTTGTAATTCAATGTGTATGGATATGTAACTTTGTAAAGAAAAAAATTATTTATTTCAAGTCCTGGGGGTTCAATGGCTCCCTCTTAAGGACTCAGCATTTTACAAGTGGGATTAACTCTGATGAGAACCTCATGGCAGATGGTATCACAGTGTGTGTGTGTGTGTGTGTGTGTGTGTGTGTGTGTGTCTGTGTGAAAAGGAGAGGATATAGCAAACTGGAACCAGTGTGGCTTGCTCTTTTGTTAACATTGCTTTTTAAAAAACTAACCAAGGTCCCCAAAGGACTAGATCAATTCTTCCAAAGAATCTAATCATTCTCCACTGGCAGCATCTGTTAAAGGCTCCATACCACCTCTCTGTATTACCATCCTGGGGACCCAACTTTCAATATATGAACTACTAGGGGATATATTCAATCTATGGCCAAACCATAGCACTACTTTTCTCTATCACTTATGCTACGATATCAAGTCCTCCCCACCTTAGAGGAACCTCCCAAAGGTCTCCCTGTGTAACTTTTGGTTATCATACAATCCATTCCTTATACCACTGTCAATGTTATCTTTCTAAACATAAACACAAAAACACAAATCTGCTCAAAAACTGTTGGTGGTTCCTCAGCATCTTGAGGACTTTCTGTTTTGCAAATGCATCTTCTCCCTTTTTCGTATCTGTGGCCTGGTTCCCCCTACTGATTGTTTGTTCCTTGTTTGTCCACAGTGTTCCTGCTAACCCTTTAAGGCTAGCTCCTTTCTCAACACCTCTGTGAAACAAGGAGGGAGCCAATCTGAGTTTAAAGTCAGTTTTGATTACAAGCTAAGGAATTGCCACATTAACTTTTTCTTGTGTGTTTTCATTTTTGTTGTACATGTGTATCTCCTTCACTGCAACTTTGAATTTCTTGAAGAGAGACAGTTGGCTTCTTATTTTTGAATCTCCATGTCATGTATTATACCAGTTGCTTAGGAGGTGTTCCATAGATTGCTGCCAATTATAGGGAGTTTAGTCTTTTTCTATTATGTCAGCAAACTTTGTTCAAGCAGCGATAGCCCCTCCTTTCTCTTTTGTTAAGAGTGTTCATCTTAAAAACAAATAAGAAAGGGGGCCAGGGAGATGGCTCAGAAGGATAAGCGCTTGACTGGCAAACACAAGGATCTGAGTTCAATCCCCGGTTCCACCAAAAAAAAACCAAAACAAGACAAAACAAAACAAAACAAAAAAAACAAAAAACAAATAAGAAAACACATAACCTTCTTCACCCTTTCATCTTAGTCCCACTTGCTGGAAATGCTGGTCCATTGTTGCTTCAAATTCCTTATCCTCCTATTGACTCTTCATTCTGCTGAAATGTGACTTTTACTCCATCATGCTAGTGAAATTGTTCTTACTAATGACGTTAGTTGCTGTCTAATTGTGAAAGTCAAGAGTTACAAATTGTTGACCTTTCTCCTTTTCTGGGAAATACCTATTAATTTGGATTTTGTGACATCGTGTGCCCAGTTTGTATCATCTCTGAACATCAATCAGGTAATCTATCATGACTTTAGTTACGTCAGGGTCCTTTGCACTCCCAGAGATCCTTACCAAGTCTTTAGTTTTTTAGTCTTCCTAGGTAATATCTTCTAATTCTATATCTTTCCCAACTACTTATATACCCAATGTCTTCAACTTCTGCCTCCAGAATTCTATTCCCAATGTATAATAACTACTGTGATTCACAATACCCTCAAACTTTACCTGTTAAAATAAAATTAAGTTTTTTTTCTCAACCATGATTCCTTTTACATTTCCTTTCCCAGTAAATTAACAAGAGTCAGAGTATTGACTGTAACCATCCCCAGGCTTCTATACTACACTACATAATAAATACATTTCAAGGGAAGTTTAGACCCTTTATATATTTCAAGTGAGCTTTTATAGTTATCAATCAAATCAAATTACATACCTTTAGTTGTGTAAAGCAGCATATTATCTCGAAGTTTCTGTAGTGCAAGAGTACAGGCATGGCTCAGTGGAGTCCTCTGCTCAGGGTTTCCACAGAGCTGCAGTCAAGATGGCAGCTGGGGGTGGGCTCCTATCTGAGACTTGGAGGTATCTTGTAAGATCACATGGAGGGCTGGGGATATAGCTCAGTGGTTGCTGGCAAAATTCATTTCCTTGCAGCTTAGAACTTATGGCAGTATGACTTTAAAAAATTTTTATTTTGAAGAGAAAAAAATAAAACAGAATTTCAAAACAGGATAATAAAAGAGTAACAATGTTTTTAAAAAGTTTTTATTTTGAAGAGAAAAAATAAAACAAAATTTCAAAACAGGATAATAAAAGAGTAACAATGTTTAATACAATGAATATTGTTATCTTTAAATTAGTTACTCCGAGGACAAGATACAGGAATTTAATTGTGCAAACATATTAGCATAGGCTTCTTTTCAATGACCTGTAAAATTAGTGGTATAATTGTCTCAACTATCATATATTTATTTATTCATTATTTTTATTATTTTTTGCCATTCCATTCTTTCCTTCTCCTTTGTTCCATCCCAGTTTCTTTTTTATTTTGAGCAGTTTCTTCCCACTTTACAATATCTGTTGTACATTTTAGATCTTATTTACTCTTTCAGCTTCTCATACCAGGGACATAATGCTATATATACAGCTGTGAATCTGGTATATTTCACTTAGGAGTATGGTCTCATGCTGCATCAAGTTACCTATAGAAGTCTCCGGTTTATTCTTCTTTATAGCTGAGTAGTATTCCATTATATGAAAAGACCAATTTTTTTTCCCCATTCCTTGTTTGATGGGCGTTTGGGTTGTTTCCAAGATTTATTTATTTATGAATTGTGCTGCTATAAACTTGGGTGCACATATACTGCTATGGTATGATGTCTTCTTTTTCTGGGAAGATACTCAGAGGAGAGATAGCTGGGTCAAATGAGACCTCTAATGTTATTTTTTTTTAAGGAGTCTTCACACTGATTTCTACAGTAGTTGCACTGATCTATACTCACTTCAGCGGTGGAGAAGGCTCCCTCCCCCCCAGCCCCTCCAGCATTTGTTATCAGTGGATTTATTGACAATAGCCTTTCTTTATGGGGTGAGATGGATTCTCAGTGTTGCTTTAGTTTGCGTCTCTCAAATGACCAATGATGTTGAACATTTTTTTCATATATTTACTTGCTGTTTGTTTTTCTTCATCTGAGAAGTGTGTATTCATCTTAGATTCTAATTTTTGGACTGAGTCTTTAAATTTGAGAGTCTGGCTTTTTGAGTTGTTTTTTATGATCTCGATAGTAATCCTTTGTCTGAGGAATAGCTAGCAAATATTTTTTTCCCACATTGTGGGTTGTCTTTTTACTCTGATATTCTCTCTTACTGTGAAAAACTTGTTTAATAAGATGAGATCTCAGCTATTGATTCTTCACGATAGTTTCCATGCATGCAAGGTTGTATTCACAGTCTTTGTCTACACCAGTATCTTCAAGAGTTTTACCTGTTATATCTTACAGCATATTTAATGTTTCTTCTTTAATATTTAAATATTCGGTGAATTTTGAATTTAGTTTAGTGAATGGTGAAAGAGAAGAATTCAATTTTAATCTTTGGCATATGCAAAGCCAGTTTTTCCAGCACCATTTTTTAAAGAGGCTATCTTTTTTCCAGTGAAAGTGTTTGGCACCTTTGTCAAAGACAAATTTTTAGACAGTGGGAGAGATTCTGACTTGCTTACTCCCTTTTAAAGAGCTTGCTTAGTGAATTCAGGCCTCTTCAGATGCTATCTCTTTGATTTATTCAAAGTCAGCTGATTGGGAACCTTAATTACCTTTTGCTATAACAGCACAATAATGGGAAAGACTCTCCCATTGCATTGATCAGCTTCTCTTGGCTACAGGCAAGTCTCAGATCCTGGCACTCAAGTGATGCAAGCTTATACCAGGGAAGGACTTGTTGGAAGTCACCCTAGGATTCTACCTTCTGTCTTTAATAGCTTTAAAACATTTATGTGTAAAAATTTAATTTGGGCATGTTACAAAGTTGAATACAAAGAAGAAAAGGTTAAATCTTTACTTTGAAGTCTTTACGTTTAGTGGAAATTGCATATATTTGGAAGATTAAAAATTACTTCCTATGTGTATGGTATCTTACACTTACTGTTTTGGGTAGGAGACATATCCAGCTATCTAAACTAGATTACAAGAACCTAAACAGAATAATTAAACACATAGCTGTAAAAGACAGATATTTAATTATATAACTGACTCAATTTGAGAGTCATTTTACCACATGTTAATGGCATTTGTATTGAGAGTATAAATGCTATATAATATCTGTAAGCAAGTAATTTTCTTCATTGTACATGAATTAAACTTTTTCAGCCAGGCATTTTTTAAAAATACCTTTGAAGGACTGATTTTTATCAGAAATAGCAATCCTTTCTCAGAATAGGTACACAGGTATCCCTTTGTTTTCTTACAGTTTTAAATGACACCTACAGAAGTCCCTTCATTTGCTCCTTCCCTGCCTGGCCCCTCATCATTTGAGGGGCTACTCCAGCTCCTCTTCCCTATATGCTTCGGATAGCTGTCAGGGAATTAACTCCTTGGAGAAGCCTGCTGCCTGAGGCCCTTCTTCATTGGGGATTCCACTGGTGTTATGGGGAACAGCGTGGTTTGAGGATTTTTCTCTCTCTCTTTTTAACATTGGCAGTGTCTGCCACACATAATCACGTGAAGCCAGAATGCAAATCCCTATAGATATGTGGTCACTTCTCTACTTTCCCTCTCTCTCGCCTGAGCAACTGCCACATTGATGCACTGCAGCCATTCTTCTGCGTTCTTCTCATCTTTGGCCTTGAAAACATAGGTTTTATTGTCTGTGAAGATTTCAAAGGCCCGAGGGAGAGAGCGGTCCCTGCGTTTCTTGGCCACTGCTTTCACACTCTGCACTTTGCTGAGCTCTATCGGAGACTCATCAGGATCATCTTTCTGAAATGCATGGGAAGGAAAGAACATGAGCTGGCTCCAGGTCTGGGGCCACTGGGGATCTTCCAAGGCAGCCAGATCATTTTACTTCCTACCGCTCGAGATCTTTGGTTATTCTGGGTGCTAAGAGTCCAAGAGTCATTTGAACAACTAAAAGAGTAAGACATAAGGCTTTGTTATAGTATTGTAAATTGATTCAAGGTACTAATTTCATACAAAATTATTGTAAGTGAGATTGGGAAAATGCTTAATTCATAGTTTTTAAAATTGTCTCTTGATATTAACACTGTACTAATAGAGAAAAAGACAACAGTGCAATTTGGAGTACTAGTAACTCAGAATTCCAGATAATATAGGAGGTACAGTATTGGCATTTCCTTTGTGCTATCTCCGAGAAAGGATTTGCCATGCCCTTAACTGAATAAACTGGGTTCCAGTGTTTGAGTAGATGAAACTTTTTGAAATCCCTGCAGTTTTAGAAGAACATTTTGTCTACAAATACACTGTAAAATAATATTTACATTTATCTTTATAAAAGTAGTGCTTTAAGGATCTCTACAACAGCAGGGTCACCACTATAGGTTAATGTGGATAGTTCTAAAGCAATTAAATACTTCTCTAAAGTAATTTTAGGTCATTAAGGTCCCTGAATATATCTTGTCTACTGATTGAGATCTTGGCAATTATTCTTTCCCATATCTCTTTTTTTCAACTACTCTTTCACTTTGCAATGAGAAGGCACCCTTCTTACCCCCCAAACTTCTTATGGTTCATTGCTTGCTCCCAAGAGCAATAAACAAACAGACCAATTCAACAATTCAACACATTAATGTCAGGGAAGTATCCATCACCCTAGGCAGCTTAACTATTCTACCCATTCATTAAGATGTGCCATTTCTCTCTCTCTCATTTTTTTTTTCTCTCTCTCTCTCTAAAAGTCATTTAGATTTTTTATTTTATTTATTGTGTGTGTGTGGGGTGGTCAGCTCAGCCCACCAGGGGGCAGGGCTGGCTGGCATGTGGTGCTGGGGGATTGAACCGCGGTCCCTGTGCTTTTTGCTAAGCTTGTTCTAAGTAGGTGATTTAGACCACTGAGCCATCTCACCAGCCTTTCTCTCTTTTTTAAAGAGCAGAATATATTTATTGGGGGAAAGGAAGCTCCTGTCTGAGAGAAGGACAAAAGGATGATCCAAGTGGGTTGTCTGCCTTTTTCTTTTTAATGCTTAATAATTATCTATTAAATTTGCTCTTATACTAATGGATTTTTATGAATTATATAGTCATTTTAAAAGATACCACAATCAGAAAAATCTTGATACTTAGAGGCTAATAATCACAAGAAGATAAAACAAATTTAAATTTATATGCATGTTTTTATTGCAATGAAATTGTAATAAAATTATTACAATGAAACTAATAAAATTTCAAAAAACCTATAAATATTTCTATTAAAGCATAGTTAACTTTTAAAAACATGCATGATAGTATGTATAAAAATGCTAAGGTGTTTTATTCTAATAATCCCTGTTAAAGAGTAGATTTTTGTCTTTTTATTTTAAAGTACTAATATTTACAATACAACAGAAATTGCAGTTTGTGCAACTGTTTAAACGTATGATGAAGGTATTGATGCAACTTAAAATGCTGCAGGTACTGAATAGATTTCTCAAAAAATTCTTCTAAAGGATATATAGGATAAAATTTGAACATTATATCATTTGTTTTATATTAAACATTTGACAGTAATAAGAACTTATGTCTTCAAATTAACTTGCAGTGTAGAAATGGTTACATGGTGGAACTAATGAAGAAAATAAAAGAGTTGTCACAGAAACCTAAGAGAACCACTGGATCAACTAATAGAAGAACAAACAGAAAAACAAAGGCCACTGTGGCCTAGCTGGGTGGCAGAGATGGAGATCTTAGGAATGCCAAAGTAAAAAATTTACTTTCAGCCACAATAGTCCTTTCAGCCACAATATTCACTCAAAAATGCATATTTCTTTCATTTTAAAAGAAAATTCAATAGGACTGCTGACCACTGACTGGTATTTGTGTCCCTGAAGGTTTGAGGTATTTTGCTGTAGCCCTCAAACTATATTATCTCCCAGTATTAGAACCAGATCCTGTTAGATTTCTGCGTGTCAAACCATTATTCTCTGATAAAGATTTTAAAAAGTCAGCAAATTTTAAAATAGCATATTTTTTAAACTGTACTTAAAAGTCCTGAATTAAGAAGTATTCAGGGTATTATTTGAGTTCTGAAAAATACTCTTACAGATTAACTGTTTTGTCTTAAGAAATCTGAGAAATCATTACATCTTTATTTCCTGATTTTCTAAATACAGGGGAAAAATGGTTGATTTAAATATTTAGAAAACACTTCCATGTGAACCTATGCCAAAAATATTTCTTTAAATCTTTAATACTTATTTAAATTTCATGTCTTATTGTACTTCCATTCCAAAAGATTTTCTGCTACAGAAAAGCTCATCTCTATGGCAGAATGCTCATGAAGAAAGTAACTTGAGTTCAAAGCATCACAAAAATCTTGTTCCATTTAGAAAGTTAACATAGGGCTGGAGAAATAGCTTAGTGGCATATGTGCCTGCCTGGCAAATGCAAGGTCATGGGTTTGATCCTGAGTACCGCATGCCATGCCGGCCCTGGAACAGGGCCTGGTGGTTTGTGCCTGTAATCCCAGCACTAGGAAGGCTGAGATAGGAGGATCACTCTGAGTCCAAACTGTGTAGTGAGACCCTGTATCAAAATAAATAAATAAATAAATAAATAAATAAATAGAAAGTTAACAAAGTTTTATTAATCAAAGCTCTGCTCAGATGTTGTCATATTTCAGATGCATCGTAATTGATGCCTATTGAGCAAAATATTCAAATAAGTTGGGAATGTTGAAGACATGAGTAAACTATACCCTTTAATTACTTTAATATCTTTCGTTAATTAATTTCAATTTGGTTTATATGATGGTTAAATTTATGTATCAAGTTGAATGGAATAACAGGTGCACAGATAGCTATTAAAATTTGATTTCTGGGGGATGGAGAGATAGTTCAGTTGAATAAGTGCTTGAAAGGGCCTGAATTCAATCTCTGGTTCCACTAAAAACAAAAACAAAAACAAAAACAAACATTGATTTATTGGGCTGGCAAGATAGCTCAGTGGACTATTAGTGTGCCTGCTTAGGCAAGTGCAGGGACTGGGGTTTGATCTCTGGCACGACAAGCCATTCTAGCCCTGATCCTTGGTGCACTGAGCCAGCCAACGAGACCAGGTATGGTGGCACATGCCTGTAATCCCAGTGCTGAGGAGGCTGAAAACAGGAAGATCACTATGAGTCTGAACTGTATAGTGAAACCCTGTACCAAATACATGTAAAAAAATTTGATTTCTGAATGTGTCCATGAGGGTATTTCCAGAAAAGGTTAACATTTGGATTTGTGGACTGACTAAAGAAGATCCGCTCTTGCCAGTGTGGGTGGGTGCCATCTAGTCCACTGGGGGCTTGGGCAGAACAGAAAGGCATAGGAAGGACAAGTTTGCTTCCTCTCCTTGAGCTAATACATCTTATCTTGTGGCCTAACAGCACATCTCCTGGTCCCTCGGCCTTTGGACCCCAGGATTTATGCTAGCCTCTCTTCCACTCCTATCCCTAGTTCTAAGCTTTTGGCAACAGAGTGAAGTGAAGTATACAATTAGTTTTCCTGGTTCTCCAGGTTGCTGATGGTGTACTGTGGAACTTCTCAATCTCTGTTATTACATGAGCTAACTTGTGTAAAAACCCTATCTATCTATCTATCTATCTATCTATCTATCTATCTATCTCTATCTATCTATCTATCTATCTATCTATCTATCTATCTATCTATCTAATCTATCTATCTATCCTATTGGCTCTAGTTCCTTGGAGGTTGCTAACTAATATAGTTTACCCCTGGCTCTGTAGTTTGAATGGACATGGGAGTAGTGTAGTATACTCATTTAGGAACATGCTGTGGTGTCCCGTTGCCTGAGCATAGCTCCACATTTACCTTCCCTCACTTCACTGGTGCAGTCCCATAACACACCAGTTAAATTTGTTGAGCCTCTGATTTCTCATCTGTAAAATGACAGCCTATAATAATAGTGCCAGCCTCATAGGATTGATCTGAGTATTGTTTGAGGCAATCTAGGGTGGCACATAATAAACATTAAATAAATGCTAGTTATTACAAGTATACTTTGAATTATACAAGAAGCTCTTATTCCCCTGATCCTGAATGAGTAGAACTTAATGATTAAAAACTACTTTGAGATGAATGAAAAGGGATAATTTTGCATTGCTGGTTGTAATAGAATGCTATTTCAGAGGAATCCTACTTAAAAATCAGAGTCTAGATTTTACTGAGTATTTTAGTTCAGACTGGAAATTACATTCAATTGATATTGATTAATTCTATTAATAATTTATCCTACTCATTAGCTGAATACCAAATGAATGAAAGATAAATATACCTTTCCTTAACAAAATTGAACTTTATTGACTTTAAAAGGAGCTTAAAATAAATCAGCCTTTATTCCTTCCCTCTGTATACTACTCCCCTTTCTTGGGGTTCCATTTCCAAATATAATTTATACTTATTTTAAAAATCAAAATCAATATCACAAACTAAAAATTTAAGTAGTTGTCCATAAGAAAACAAAACATAGTATTTGAGTCAAGATCATAAAATAGTTGTTTCATAGTCCAGCTTCTAAAATTTAAGTCAACTAATAAACTGGAGAGGGACAGTGAACCAACTAATAGGTGACTTAATAGAGTAAACGAAGGGATATTTGTAACAAAACACTAGTATAATATTATAAGATTATAAGATACAGAGAAAAAAATTACCAGAGTTTTAAACTGAACACACAATATCTAGCTAGTTGGTAAGAACAAGACCTTAAGTACAAATACAGAAGAAAATGGAAGAACTTACAGATTTTCCTTTTTGAAACAGAAGTTGATTTCCAGCCAGTGTAAAATAACGAGTTTTCCACCTTTTTATGAACTTCCATCTGACTTGCTTCTCTTTAAGTTTTCCTTCTATGAGAGGCTGGCCGTCTTGATTGACAACTGTTGAAGGTAACAGAATGATCAAGCCATTTATTTTCCATTATTAACTTGGCAAGTGATCAAAAGTGCGAATTGTGCAGTGAGCAGACTCTAGAAGTGTAGGCTTATAAATTGTGACTTTGGTTAACCTTTCTCCCTTTACCCCCCAAAGAATGCACAATTCAGATGTAAAAGCAAGAAGGTATTTTTATTTATTTATTTTTTTTAATTATTTATTTATTTATTTATTTGTGTGTGTGTGTGTGTGTGTGTGTGTGGCCAGCTCAGACCACCAGGGGGCGGGGCTGGCTGGCATGTGGTGCTGGGGGATTGAACCGTGCTTGCTTTGCTTTGCTAAGCTTGTTCTAAGTAGGTGCTTTAGACCACTGAGCCATCTCACCAGCCCCAGCAAGAAGGTATTGAAAGACTTCGTCGAGACTTTCAAAAGTGATTAGTTGTGAATGCAGCCTCTGGTTAGCAGTACTTAGGTTGATCCAGATACATGGCTTTCTGTGCTCCCTCACTTCTGTTTTGCGATAATCTGTCCTTTAGATTGGAGTAGCCTAATTAGTTTAGAACAAATTTGAAATTTTGGCATAAATTAGTATGTCGTGAGTTCATTACCTATTATTGATTTTGCTACTATCTAAGTAAAATACACATTTTTATGCTTTATGACACATGAACTACTTAGAAATAGTTTGGTACATAATAATAAACTAAGTATATTTAGCCGATTGGCAGCAAAAGTCAATGCAGTGTTCCAAAAGATGTTTTCCTGAAGCTGTTCCACAAAGCTGCAAAGGGCCATATAGTACACTCGGCTCTTTTGTACTTATTTTCACTTTCTGCGGTACTTCCGTTCTCTTTCTCTTCTGTACATTCTCATCTTTGCCTAGGCGAATTGCACATTTATTTTAATTAAAAATGCTTCCTTTGAGAAACCTTTCCCAAACTCAGGCCAGAGCAGCTTCCTTTTCATATGCAGACATGCTTTCTTTTATATCGTGTCTTTTGTAGTTTGTTGATTAATATCTTTTTCATTAAATAAAGAGCTCCACAAAGGCAGGGTCTTGGCTTTATTCACACTGAATCACTAGGAATATAATACAGTGGCTGACAATAATGGGATCTCTAAATATTTATTGCATGAATGGCTTAATTTTATACCCAAGCAGAGTGTGTATGATTGTGCATAACCATAGACTTGGAAGATCCATTCAATACCAGAGGTAGAAATGCTAAATTAAAGAATTTCATGCTTTTTTTTTTTTTACCAACTATGTAGTGTTTACTCTTCAAATTTATATTAGAGCATCTGATTTCAGCACAGAGAATGGATCCATTTGGAGTAGGACAACATGTACTGCTATTCATTTATGTTCACTTTTTGTAACATCTTGAAATAGATGAAATTTTTTTATTGCTTTGGAAAAATCTGAACAATGTCTGCCATGGCGATATGAATATAGTCTGTCATTTCTATTTTCTAGTGTGGGTCAAGTAACTACCTCAAACAAGAGGTCTGTTCATTTAATGGGCATTTCAGGATAAGAATAATGAAACATGTACTTTTCGTAAACAAAGTTTTATTAAGTTTATTTTGGGTTGTTCTTTCTCTTTGTTGTTTTATACTGTGTGACAAACACTTGATTAGGGGTGTAGTGTTGTTTTAGTTAATTTTCTCATTGCTGAGACAAAATACCCAAAACCCAAAGTTAAAATAGGAAAAGTTTATTTCAGCCCATAGTTTGTAGAGGTTTCGGTCCATACCCTCCTGGCTCCAAGGCAGGGTGGCATGCAGAGAGGCATCACAGGGGAGAAGTAGTGCATGGCAAGCAGGCAAGAGACAGTGAAGCAGTGAGCAGCAGCTGCAGCTGCAGTGGCCTGCCTCTCCCTTGTATCCTTTCCAGGCTACCTGGCTTTGGGTGGTGTCACTGGCACCCAGAGTGGGACTTCCCTTTACCCACACACAGAGCTATGCTAAGCCAATGAATGGACTAATCTAGTAATCACACATCCTTTATCTGAGCATCATACACCATTATATCTTTGAAAAGCCCCACCCATGACCAAATACAGGCCATAACAAGTGTTAGCCAAAATTAAGGCTAACAATGAGAAATAAAATCAAATATCTTGTTAGGCAGTGGCAAAGGCTCTGATAAAGTGAAGAAGGGAATAAGTTACTTGGTGGGTACACATGCAGTTAAGGTTTGAGGAAAGCTTGAACATTTGAGGTGACATTGGATTTGAGCTCTCAGTGATGAGAAATAGTTCCCCTCTTCCAAGAAGTTCTGTGGTGGGTACTGTTGTTCAGAGCCGGGCACAGGGAAAGCAGGAACTCAGGATGTTATAAATGGCAATCAATATCAATAAAACTGCCACTGTTCTCCTTGTTTTATTAGCAACCATTTAACTTAGAGCATTCTTAAAGCTGGTCATCCTCTCTACAAATCTAAATTTTCCATAAACATACTGGTCGCTTCTTTGTGGCACCTCTGCTCTTTGCAGTAAAGGCATTTGTGACACCTCAGTCAGGGATGGGGCTGTTCAGAGGTGGCTAATTGTAGTAGTGATGCTAGAATTAAAGGTGGGTGATCACTACAGCAGCCTACTCATTGGTTTGGCTCCACCCTAATCCTGGTAGTGTGGATACAATATAAAGGACAAACAGAGGGCTTGTCTTGCCCCTTGTCTGCTTGCTTTGTTAACCTTCTGCCCACCAAGAACTGTTTCTCCTCTGTGATGCCTGTCAGCTATGCCATCTACCCTGGAGCCAGCCGAGTCAGCACTGAAGCCTCTACAAACTGTGAGCCAATAATCTTTTCCTTTTTTTTTTCTTTTTCTTTGTACCAGGAATTGAACTCAGGACCTTGCACTTGCCAGGCAGGCATCTGTGCTGCCAAGCTATGTCTCCAGCCCAACCTTCCCTCTTTTAACTTTGGGTATTGGGCATTTTATATCAGCAATGAGAAAAGTAACTAAGATACAAACCATAATTACAGAGGATGTGTTTTAAAGGGAGAGGAGCATAAATGGGGGTAGGTGGTCAAAGGAGCCACATGCAGTAGACTGAATGTCTGTGGAATTTTATTTATGTGTGTGTGTGTGTGTGTGTGTGTGTGTGTGTGTGGCCAGCTCAGCCCACCAGGGGTCGGGGCTGGCTGGCATGTGGTGCTGGGGGATTGAACCGTGGTCCCTGTGCTTTGCTAAGCTTGTTCTAAGTAGGTGCTTTAGACCATTGAGCCATCTCACCAGCCCCTGTCTGTGGTTTTTGAAACCACTAAAGATCATAGCAAATGGCAGGTTTCTTATGAACATCCAGGCAGTCTTTTGGAGTCCTTGTTTCTTTATTGGTACTGAAGAAACAAAGAGGTATAATCAGGATCAATTTGTAACATCCTTCAAGATGCTGTGGGGACAAAATAGGACAAAGTAAGCATGACAACAGCCCTATAAGGGCTGAATGGCTTGTTACTCAGTTGTTTTTTTTTGTGGAACAGAGGCTTGAACTCAGGCCCTTGCGCTTGCTTATTCTACTGAACTATCTCCCCAGCCCCTTTCAGTTGTGTTGTTCCCCATCAAAATGTAGTACGCTTTCTAGACTTCGCTGGTCAGCTTCTGTGAATACTGATCTAGAAAAATCTCAGAACTGTATCTTCTAAGTGTTTAGGTCTACATGTCCCAAATTGCATTCTTAAGGCCACTTCTGGCCCTATTTTTTGCTAGCTTGTTAAATTGTACTTTTCAAGGCACCACTTCAAGTCTACTGAATCTGTTTTGGGGTGTGGTAAAAAAAGATCCTTAGATGATTCTGTGTACCTCTAAGAACTTCTAGGGAATTATTGATATTTTCACAGGAGATGAAAATACTAAGTCATATAATATACAAAAGAGTAAACCCAAAAACCAGTAATAGGACAAAGATTGTTGTGACCTTTCTGTGAAATAAAAAAAATAGGATGGCAGTATAAAATCACATTCACGTCCTTGTATTCAGTTAATAAGGTTACAGAGAAAATGCTCACAATCAGTGTTTGTGAAATTGGATTTAATTACTGTTTTATCTGTGAAACAAAAATTCTAAAGGATCTTGCCAAGAAGATAATGTGGTTAGTGGGTCTGAGTGGTATATGTGGTTATCTTTGTACTTTAGTGAGAATTTCATCCAAGTAGACTGGCCAGTAGTGCATGGCAAGCAGGCAAGAGACAGTGAAG